GGGAGGAGAGCGAGGGAGCCACATGCCATTCATATTTCACAGCCCACCCCTCCTGTGTTACTCACTCTGTTGTCAGAGGGATACTCGACCTTGTCAGTTGTCACAGCTTGTCACCTCACCAACAAATTAAAAAACCCTATGCCTTCCAGTCCTGTGCCTGCCTGTCTCTCCAGCTCATGACTGAGAGCAATGCAGGGGCTGACATGGTATTCCTCTCTCAGGTTTGATCCAGGGAGGTTGCTGTGTGTACATCATGTCCTCTAGGAATTCACCCCGTCCGTGACGCCTTACCATGAAGCCTGCCTGCTAGCCACTCCATCTTTTTCTATGATACCTTCAGACTCAGAGGATGTCTGTTAGAACAGTGTTTCTTAAACCTTTTCCACCTGAAACCTCTTCACTTAAAAGTTTTTTATGCAATTCTGAGTGGATAGGTAAGTTTTAAAGGGTATATAAATCAAATTCCAATAATAAATCATAAAAATTATTTTAAAACAGCTCTTTGGTATACATATAACTTTACCATTTATTAAAGGCTAAAGCAAATTTGCACACCAATTATATGGATGTGTCCTTATATGATACATAAAAAATTAAATTTTATTAGGCATGGTGGCACACGTCTGCAATTCCAGAATGTGGGTTGTGAAAAGACCAGAGCATTGGAAGTTCAAGGCCATGCTTAGCTGTATAATAAGTTCAAGGCCAATGTGGGATACTTGAGACCCTGTACAAAAAATAACACAAAGTAAAAAAGAAATGAGTTTTGGATAAGAGTTTGATATTGAATGTCAAAATATCTTCAATGTTCTTACAGTTGATCAATATTTTGATTTCATGATCATTAAGGCTGAACATTGCTTTGCAAAAACACATAGTACACAGTGTCAGAACTATATTTAGAGCCACTTCATAAACTGTTGGGAATGCCATTCTAATCCCAAACCGAAATTAATTTAACAACTTTTATGAAACTATCAGCAACCCACAGAGCAATTTTTAAAATGGAACATTTTAACACAATGCAACTGAAAGATAAGAAAGGATGGTAAAAGAGAGAGAGAGAGAAGAAAATATTAAAGATTCTTGTTTTCCATAATAAATAGAAGCAGAAAATTTTGCATGTGGGTTAAAAATGCTGGAATTCACCAATATTCTCTAAGCCAAGGAGTTCATGCAGCACCCAGTGGCATTGTGCGGCAGTCTGCACACTTGGTGCACTGTTGCATCCCTTGGCATTGCATGCATATCTTCACACTTAGTGCACTGCCACATGTTCAACAGTGAAGTCACGCAATGATGCATCATGGACAAGGCTGCCTGAAACACCACCAACTCATTATGCATTTGACTCCAAATTACTTCTTGCTCATTGTGTTTGGAAACCATACATGTTTGGTGTATTTTTCATAACTCCTGACATTCAGTTATTTAAGTCCCAGATGGAGTGGCAACCAACAGTTTAAGAAGCTGGGTATTGGGGCTGGAGAGATGGCTCAGTGGTTTAAGAGCATTGCCTGCTCTTCCAAAGGTCCTGAGTTCAATTCCCGGCAACCACATGGTGGCTCACAACCATCTGTAATGAGGTCTGCAGACATACACACAGACAGAATATTGTATCCATAATGAATAAATAAATAAATATTTTAAAAAAAAAAGAAGCTGGGTATTATGACATAGTGGCCAAGGAATAAATAGTTGTGCCCAAGAACCTCAGATAGAAAACCTCAGGATCAAATAAGACAGGCATCACAGAGTATTGTGTCTGCAGAGGGGCTATTTAACTAGAAACAACTGTATGTTTATAAAGCCATCATAAAGGCAAGCCAATGGAAGGCAGTCTATTCCTGTGTGAGTGAGTGTGCGTATATATGTGTGTGTGTGTGTATGCATGTGTGCAACTACAATCTAAAATATGATTTTCAAGTTATGTTAACCCAAGGGAGACATTAATCATATAAGTGAAATTCTCAAACAGTTCTGAGGGTTTTTTCTAAAACCATGTATTACCATCTCCTTCCTTTTTTATTTTATGTATTTTTTATTTTTTAAATAATCTTATTTTACATACCAATCCCAGTTCCCTCTCCTTCCTCTCCTTTCACTTCCCCACCTTCTCCCCACTCCACGCTCCATCCATTCCTCAGGGAGGGTGAGTCCTCCCATGGGGAGTCAACAAAGTCTGTCACATCACTTGAGGTGCAGGACCAAGGTCCCCCCCTCCCCTGTATCTAGGCTGAACAAAGTATCAATCCATAGAGAATGGGCTCCAAACAGCCAGTTCATAAACTAGGCATAAATACTGATTCCACTGATAGTAGCCCTACAGACAACCCAAGACACACAACTGTCACCCACATTCAGGGGGCCTAGTTCTGTCTTATGCAGGTACCCCAGCTGTCAATCCAGAGTCAGTGAGCTCCCACTTGCTTGGGTCACTTGTTTCTGTGGGTTTCCCCATCATGGTCTTGACCCCTTTGCTCATAATACTGTTCCTCCCTGTCTATGACTGGACTCCAGGAGTTTGGCCCAGTGCTTAGCTGTGGATCTCTGCATCTGCTTCCATCAGTTACTGGACGAAGGTTCTATGATGACAATGAAGGTAGTCATCCATCTGTTTACAGGAAAAAGGCAGTTAAGGTATTCTCTCCACTATTGCTTAGCTTGTTAGCTGGGGACATCCTTGTGGATTCCTGAGAAATTCCCTAGTGCCTGGTTTCTGTGGACCAATGGAATTGAATCAAAGACCCTGATATCAATCCAAACACATGCTTTTTGACAAAGAAGCTAAAATATACAATGGAAAAAAGAAAGCATTTTCAACAAATGGTGCTGGCATAACTGGATGTCAACATGTAGAAGAATGCAAATAGATCTATATCTATTGCTATACACAAAACTCAAGTCCAGATGGATCAAAGACCTCAACATAAATCCAACCACACTAAACTTCACGGAAGAGAAAGTGGGAAGTAGCCTTGAACTCATTGGCACAGGAGACCACTGCCTGAATATAATACCAGTAGAGCAGACACTGAGATCTATAATTAATAAATGGGACCTTCTGAAACTGAGAAGCTTCTTTAAGGCAAAAGACACAGTCAACAAGACAAAAAAGCAACCTACAAAAAGGGAAAAAAATCTTCACCAACTCCACATCTGACAGAGGGCTGTTCTCCAAAATATACACCTCAAGAAACTAGATATCAAAATATCAAATAATTCAATTTAAAAATGGGGTACAGATCTAAACAGAGAACTCTCAACAGAGTAATCTAAAATGGCTGAAAGACACTTAAGGAAATGTTCAACATCCTTAGTCATCAGAGAAATGCAAATCAAAACAACTCAGATTCCATCTTATACCTGTCAGAATGGCTAAGAACAAAACATAAATGAAAGCCTATGCTGGAGAGGATACAGACTAAGGGGAACACTCCTCCATTGCTGGAAGTGCAAACTTGGACAGCCACACTGGAAATCGATATGGCGGTTTCTCAGAAAATTGGGAGTCAATCTACCTCAAGACCCAGCAATACCACTCTTGGATATACACCCAAAGGATGCACACTCATACTACAAGGACATTTGCTCAACTATGTTCATAGCAGCATTATTCGTCATAGTCAGAACCTGGGAAACAACCTAGATGCCTCTCAACCAAAGAATGGAGAAAGAAAATGTAGTACATCTCCTCCCTTTTTAAGACTTTGGTAAGAAAGCTGTTTTTAAAAGGACACAGTTCCATAATTATCCAATGTAATGATGGGGTAAAGTAGTTTTTTTTTTAAGTTGGGGGTTCCTAATTTGGTACTGAAGCACGCTGTTCAGTCTTCCATCCAGTCCTTCCCGTAAACAAGAGTGAGCGCTTGCCCAAGTGTGATTAGGGGAAGGGGTGGACTGGTTTAGGGGAAGGTTTCCTTCAGTGTGGAGCTAGCCCATGCAACAGCTATGAGCCACCTACACTTAAGTCCTGGTGAGTGCACTTGCCAAGGTACCAACACAGAATTTCACACTGGGGGAGGGGGGAATTTTTATTTTATAAATGGCATATTTATAAATATACCATTGAATGGGAACAAGCTGTCCTCATCAAAATTGGGGGATAACATAACTTAGTCTCCGGAGCCAGGGACCAAATTTCTACAAATAGCCTTGTCCTCCTGGCCTCGTTGTTCACAGGGAACACTGATGGCTCCCAGCTCTCAACAGTGTAAGCAACAAGAATGTGCTACACATTTTTACACTTGCTGCTCTTTTGTTTTTTGTCTCTGGAAACTTTCTATGGCTCGTATGAAAAGTTTCATGAGGATTTAGCTCATCTTTTGAACCTGGGTTAGCCAGTTAACCAAATTATGTAACACACAAGGTGAAAAAGTCCGTTCATTCCCAGACAAATCTAGAAGGTTAGAAAAACTCCTCACTTTCTGAGGTGCCCATGTCTGGACTCAGTTCCATTATACAGAGGACAAATCATCCTTGGTCAAAAGGTAGCGGGTGACAGTGAAGCAGTGTGTTTGAATAGTATAATAAAGACAATCATGGACCCTGACTGCTCTTGGGGATGGAGAGGGAAGAGGGGAGGGAGTGGGGGGAGTGGGAGGGTGTTGGGAGGAGGGGCAGAAATGGAGACTTTTGTATTTTAATAAACTTTGAGAAAAAAAAGAAAAAAAGAAAAAAAAAGACAATCATGATTTGGCCTACGATAGATTTCTAACTATGAAAGTATGAGTTCCATCTAAAGGCATTGCTTCTTGTTTCTGCATTTGGACAAGCAGTGTCATTTAGGTGGAAAATGAACCAAGAAAATAGACTGGGAGAAATATTAATTCTTCTACAGAAATTTAAACAGAAATGCTATAGAGTCTTCTAACTTTGCGTATTTCTTTTTTTAATTCAGTGCTTTTAAAAGTCCAAAAGGGGATGTTTTTGAGATAATATATTTGTATATAATGTTCATAACAGGAGTGTTATGCAAAAGTCATTATGGAAAATGGGATAAATAAATTCTAGCTCCATGAAATATATAAACAGATAAAAATAATTGTACCAGAAAATGGACACTCAAGGACGTCCATACTTTGCATAGCTTTGTTCCAAAACAATTAGAGTATCCCAGGAATGCAGCTGTTGGTCTTAGTTTATTCTGCAGACAGAAGAGTGTCAAGGAGCTTTCTGTTGGCTTGTCTCCTAGTTTCTGATGCGTGGCATTCTGAACAGGTTACTTTGGAACGTCTCTTGCCTGTGTGTTGGCACCGGGAGTCATCAGAGATTTGTTCCACAGTTTGCATCCTGGTAAAACCAAAAAGAATTTGTCTATGATAAGCAGACCGTGCCTTCACCGTTGAGTAATTTCAGATTTGTACCACAAATTTCACGGACTTCACAGATTGCAGAGTTGGGAAGTTCTTGTCTTGCATTCTCAGGCCCACTGACAGATGGAAAAAAGCCAAGAGTACCACCAGCCGATGAATACAGTGTCCCCTAGGGCTCTACCAGGGTCTCTGTTCTGTCCAGCTCACACAGCTGGGGAGTAGATGCAGCTGATGAATGCTTAATATCAGTTATTATCTGTCACAGAAACATGCAGTACTGGATAATGGTGCTCATGGGAAGCACAGGTTTTTGTCAAGTTCTTTTTCTTGACCTTGACATGTTCTTTTAGAGAAAATCATGAGTTGTGGCCCAATGCCGTCTCCCTTCAAGATCGCTCTGTACTGTCTTATAACTATAGCAGAGAACTCTCTTATAAATTCTGTTCCTGTTCTATGATCCTGTAGTAGACAGTGTTCTCAGAGCCCTGAGTTTGACTTGCCTGGACCCATCTCTGATGAAACACTAAGTTTGGTCTTCACTGATGGGAAGCAGCAAATGGGAAAGGGCTCCTGGGGGAAGGCCCACTAACACACCAACACCCTTCAGATCCGCCAAGAGGCAGAGGGGGCCAGAGTCTTGCGCACAAGCCACCATCTTAGCTTTCTTCAGACAGGGCTTGTTGTGTGGAAGTGCAGGCTTCCTTGCCAAAACTAGGTATCATTGCCAGTTTGAGTCTGGGAAGCCTGGAGTATGTTTGAGTGTGAAACAATAAAAACAGGTTTATTTTCATTTAACCATCGTCTCCACCAGGCCTGCTTTTTTCAGTTGTTAGTTGATCACAGATTACATGTCGACACGGAGCAGGAGCATTTAATTTTCCCCCAAGAGGTCCAGCTCCTAGCAACTGCTCTGAGAATCCAAAAATGATTTTATGGAAATGATTAGCGGCAGGGACAATAAACACTGGCAAGGCTGACCACGACAAATTCACGTCTATAAAGAAAGTTCTGGTTGAAGCAACCATGTGGGCTCCAAAGGGCTATGGGGCCTTGGGAAGGTCGTTTGCATTTCTGTGACTCAGGTCTCTCTTCTGAAGTGTTCATCAGCGAGGGGCACTAAGGGTTGAATAGCTCAAAATATTCAGAGTACTTTGAGCTTGTTAGCGTTGGGCCTTTGAGATGGTTCAGTTGGTAAGAACACCTGCTATGCAAGCATGGTAAGTTAAGTTCCATCCCTGTAACCCATGATAAGAGGGGGAAACTGACTCCCAAAAGTTGCCCTCTGACCTGCAAATATACTCCATGCATGGCACACATATACCACAAGTAAACATACAACATAATACACAGTGACAATATTAACACAAATATTTTTTTTGAAATCGGTATTTTACCCCTTCAGGGTGTTTGCTACATCCACATATCAGCTATACTAGTAACTTTCTTATTTTGAGTGACGGCAGTTCTCCTGGTTTATTCCTCCAAGTGCTGGGATAGCAGGTGTGAACTATCATGTCTATTTAACTGACTCCATTTTCATGCAGAATCTAATTTTCAAAGAAACTTTACGGACCTCAAGAGATGGCCCAGCAGTTTAAAAAAAAAAAAGGCATTGACTCTTACAGAAGACCCAGGTTCACATCCCAGCACTCATTTGGCAGCTCACAACCATCCATAACTCCATTTCCAGGGCATCTGATGCCTTTTTCTGACCTCTATGGACATCAGGCATACAAACAGTACACAGACACGCATGCAGGCAAAACACCCATACACATAAAATAATTTTCTTTTTAATTTTAAAAGAAAGTGTACACCTAGCTGAAGAAATAGCTCAGCAATTAAGAAAATTTATGTCCCAACTATAAATAGAAATGAGTACAATTTACTACAAAGGTAGCCACTGTCTTAGGGTTTCTACTGCTATGAAGACACACCATAACCACCGCAACTCTTACAAAGAGGTGGCATACAGTTTCATACAGTTTAGAGGTTTAGTCCATTGTCATCATGGTGGGACATGGCAGCATGTAGGAGGCATGGTGCAGGAGAAAGTTCTTACATCTTGACTCAGGCAGTAGGAAGTGGTTCATCTCACTGGGCATGGCTTGAAGATATATGAGACCTCAAAGCCTGCCTCCATGTTGATGCACTTCCTCCAACCAAACCACACCTCCTAATAGTGCCACTCCCTTTGGGGGCCATTTTCTTCCAAACCATCACAGTCATAAATTATCAATAGAATATTTACATTCCTCCCCACCAGCACCACACCACACACACACACACACACACACAGACACACACACACACACGTGCGCGCACGCAAAAAAGCCAGGCACTTGTGGTACGGGCCTTTAATTCCAGTGCCTGGGAGGTAGAGGTAGGCAAATCTCTGAGTTCAAGGACAGCCTGGACTACAGAGTGAAATCCAGGACAGCTAGGGTTATACAGAGAAACCCTGTCTTGAAAAACCAAGAGGATAAAAAGTGGGGGAGGGGGGAGGGAGAGAGAGAAGTATATTTACTGAGTCCTTAATTCTGCTCACTCAGCACAGTGCTACATGACTTGACTTGTTAGAACCTCATAGCCCTTTAAGGTCAATGCTAACACCAGCCCATTTTTCCATGAGGAACTGAGACACAGGAGGTAACAAAACTGCCCACAGATGCACAATCGGTTAATAGGTATTCAAGTTCTTCATCTCTGTGCTGTGGCCTGACAGAAGTAGATGGCATACTCAATTCACAAAGCCTCCTAGGAATGGTGTATAAATCGCCACAGACTCAGTGTCTTTTTTTTTGGGGGGGGGGTTAAGACAGGGTTTCTCTGTAGCTTTGGAGCCTGTCCTGGAGCTAGCTCTTGTAGACCAGGCTGACCTTGAACTCACAGAGATCCGCCAGCCTCTGCCTCCTGAGTGCTGGGATTAAAGGCGTGCATCACCACAGCCCAGCCAGACTTGGTGTTTTGAAACAATAGAAACTTATTATGTTACATTTTTAGAGGGGGAAATCCGAACACAGGATATTGGCAGGACTGTGTTTCCTCCACACTTCTGGGGGTGGATTCTCCCTTGCCTCCTCTAGCTTCAGCATCCCTAAGCAGTCCTTGCCTGGTAGCATCCTCCCTCCAGTCCTCACGTGACTTCATATGTGTGTGTCTACCCCTGCCTCTTCTTTACAGGGCACCTATCATGCTGTATTAAGGCCTACCCTACCTAATCTTAATTTCATCACGTTTGCAAAGACTGTTTCCAGAGAAGGTCTTCTTCACAGGTGCCCAGGCTTGGGCTGCAATATATCTTCTCTAGAGTGTAGGAGAAACAGGAAACACCATCTAACCCATATGCTTGCCCAGTTATGATTTTTGAGCCTAAAGCAAGGAGACTGCAAGTGTTGGAGGAGAGTTCAAGGTCAGCACCGACTCAGACTTTCTTCCTGTACAACTAAGACGGAAGGAGTTGGGCCAGGGGAAGCGCAATGGCTTTCTGTTCCAAAGACATCGGTGCCTAGTTCAGCAGGCCTGGCCCATCACTGATGTTTATTTATAAAGAGACATGGAAATTTTTCCAGCCTCACAGGAAAAGATAGCATCAGAAACTAGGAGAAAAGTCAACCTTCCAAAACCCACAGGGAGGGGAGAATATATCATTCACCTCTAGAAGGTACTATGTATGGCTGGACCAAAATAGCAAAGTCAGAAAATACTCAAAACCTCGGGGGCATCATAGCACAGCAGAGACAATAGTGAGTAAATCATTTATTCTATTCCAGTGAATACTGTAGGGAAAAAAAACTATCCTTCTAAGACAGGTTTGAGAGGAAGGTGTGGGAGAGCGAGAGCAGGAGGAGGGCTATCAAACCAGGGTGTCCTTGGGTGCTTGGACTGCACAGACCTCGTAGAGCTGGGAGGTTCTCGTCTTGAGTTCTCGGGCCACCTGACAGATGGAGAAAGGCCAGCAGCAATGCACCACCATCCAGTCTTCACAGAGTGTCCCCTAGGGCAAGACCAAATGATACAGGACCGTTTCTGTTTCTCAAAGACCTGTGTAATATCACCTGCTGGCCCATCCCACCCTCTGCTTCCAAGATCCACCAAACACTTAAGTCAACACTCAGGACACTGGGTAGCCCAAGTGTCAAGCAGTGTCTGGTCAATATGTACAGTTCAGAGCCCCTGCCCCTTCAATTTTTGACATATGCCTCTTACTGAAACCTCCACTTTTTCCTTTTAGTTGTCTCTTAGAATCACTATACTTATTTTTTTTTTTTTGTAGTAGGTATTGAAGGGAAAAGTGTCGGCTCAGGACTCCAAAATCAAGTTCTCAACATAAAGATTTATTTGCCCCAGAGTGATAGAGAGCAGGGAATAAGAGACAAACACAGGAGACAGAGGACCAGGGAGAAGGGGATAGGAACAAGGGAAATGGGGCAGGGATATTTGCCCTGGGGGGACGACAAAGGACTGCTATTGAATTGGGATCAAACAGATGGGGCCCATAAGAAAACGGTAGCTTTTAAAGGTAAAATGGGAAGCCCCAGGTTAGGATGAGGCATATAGTTTTAATTAGGCACGTTAATTAGGTGAGCCAAAGGGGGGTTGATTGCTGGACTTCAATACTTTGATATAGCTGGACCTTGGTAGTCAGCCTCAGGAGGAGGAAGGGGCTAGCTTTAGGAATGTATTCTAATGGTTTAGCAAGGCGGAGGGAGTCAGGGAGAAGGGCAAGGCCTGTCAGAGCCATATGCTCTAGAGGGGTAGAGTCCCTTCAGGTAATAAACTAAAATGGTCCCAAATCCCCATAGTAAAAAAGATTGGGAAGTAAAAAAAGAAAATCTCCCTCCCCAAGAGCTGTCTCGGTCACTCAGCTACCTCCCTGGGGACAATCATTGATTAACAGTTACATGTCTAGGCATACCACATTAGTCGACACGTATACACATACAGTCCTTACACATGAGGAGTCACACAAGCCTGTGTCTCGTTTTGTTCACATAAAAAGATCATCCCACAAAACACCTAGATATTGTGAGAGAATGAGTCTGTCTGTCTGTGTTTCTGTTTGTCTGTGTCTGTGTCCAACGTAGAAATTTCCCTTTGGAAGATCCTCTGTGTCTGTATGTGTTACCACCCATCTCTGCTCACCCGTTCATGACTTCAGTCTTGGCTCTACTAGAAGTTAAGGACCACAAGGAACCTCCAAAGTAAATTCTACCTGCAGCACATGGGCTACACTGCAAGTCAGACCTCACAAGCACTTCCTCCAAATTAGGTTTGACTCCATCTGCCATGTCTTGAAGTAATGAGAGACAAGTGTAGTTTTATTTTTGTAGATGGAAGGGGATAGTGGCTACAGCCTCCTATTTCTATGCATCAAAGCACATCTCAGAGTGTGTAAGTTGGCCAAAGATTTGACCAAACCTGTTGACCAACATCCTGCATTATGGTTTCTTTTTGGAAATAGCCTTCATTATAAAATATACTTCATTTAAATAATAACTCATAGTAAATAATGAAATCAGAACTTTCATTCCCCAAAGTTTTTCATTAAATATAAGATTTTTAAGCATCTTCACTGATATCTCTCTCTCTCTCTCTCTCTCTCTCTCTCTCTCTTTCCCAATCACTTTGGGGTTTGAAAAGCATCCAAGTTCTCATAAAGATTTGGATTCTTAACTGCTGAGCCATTTATCCAGCCCAGAATGCAAGCTGGTACAGCTCCTTTGGATGTCAGTGTGGTGATTTCTCAGAAAATTAGGAAACAACCTTCCTCAAGACCCAGTAATATCCAAAGGATGCTCAATCATGCCACAAGGACATGTGCTCAACTATGTTCATACCAGCATTGCTTGTAATATCCAGAACCTGGAAACAACCTGAATGCCCCTCGACCGAAGAATGGATAAGAAAAATGTGGTACATTTACACAATGGAGTACTACACAGCAGAAAAAATAACAACAGCTTGAATTTTGCAGGAAAATGGATGTAGCTAGAAAACATTATTTTGAGTGAGGTAACCCAGACACAGAAAGACAGTTATCACGTGTATTCACTCATAGGTGATTTTTAAAAATAAAGCAAAGAAACCCAGCCTACAAACCACAATCCCAGAGAACTTAGACAGCAATGAGGACACTAAGAGAGACTCACATAGATCTAATCTACATGGGAAATAGAAAAAGACAAGATCTCCTGAGTAAATTGGGAGCATGGAGTCCTTGGGGGAGGTTTGAAGGAGGAGAGGCAGGGAGGGGAGCAGAGAAAAATGTAGCGCTCAATAAAAAAAAAAGAAGAAGAAGAAACAAAGAAAAATGGATTCATATATGCCTCAATTGTCCTTACCTGTATCTTATGTCTCTCTCTGGTGCCAATTCTCAGTGCAAAGGAAGACCCTGGTAACAGTGGCCAACAAAGGCACTCTCCATAATGCCTGGCAATGTCACACTCAAGACACATGGGACAAAAGAGACCACAGAAACCTGTTGATTGCACAGAAAAGAAAACCAGCGTTCTCAGATATTCAAGAAACAACTTCACATTTTAAACAGATTCGCAACCCTGTGCCATCAATTCAACACTGCATTGTCTGCCTGTAACCAGGGACAAAGGATGAATAAACAATTCTTAAATCTCAGAGCTAGAAAACTGTCATTCCTAGCCACAGCAAGATTGTGTTCTCTTGTTAAATATTGCCAAAACTGAACCTGACACAATTCTGTTAGCATTGATTATGATAACTTTTTTTCCTGCCAAAAAAGTTAAGTAATTTTTGAATCATAACTGATACTTACCTTCTTCTATCCAATTTCATTACTTACCATGGACCTAGGATACTAGAAGCTTCCTGAATAACAAATATCCCTTTCTGTAAAAATGATAGAAAAACTGACCCTGTTTTCTATTCCTGTCAAGGTTTTATTCTATTTCTCAGATCAGAGGTTATTCTGATTTTTGTCAGTTTCACAGAGCCACTGACGTTCGTCCATTTTAATCTGTAAGCTATTAGGCGACTGGGCCCTTGAGTGTCAACTGAAAATGGTTTCCACTTAGTACTTCATTCACCATTAACTCTTGATATGACTTGCTACAGAGACTGAATGGACTAACATGGATTCTATTCCAAAGATGTTTGAGGCCACAGAGCCTTTTGAGAATGTAATGGCTGTTACGAACTTGCTCCAGGAGGGAAGAGAAAATGCATGCCCCTGAGCGGGCAAATTGTTCACTCCCTTCCACGGAGCTCATAGAGCCACAGAAAGCTATTAACGAGCCGCAAGAACTCCTGACATGCAGTTAAGATGTTACATCATCTAAAACTGCAAGAAGATGACAATCCTGATGATTTCAAATAATTATGACTGTGAACCAACAAAAATGCCATGCTATTAGTCTTTGGAAACACACTATCTTAGTTAGGGCTGTCATTGCTGGGATAAAACACCATGACCAAAGCAGTTTGGGAAGGGAAGGAAAGGGTTTATTTGGTTTGTGTTTTTAAGTGTTCATCACTGAAGGAAGTCAGAACAGGAACTCCAATGGGGCAGGGACCTGGAGGCAGAAGCTATGTAGGAATGCTTCTTACTGGCTTGCTCCTCATGGATTGCTCAGTCTGATTTCTTATAGAACCCAGGATCAGCCCAGGGATGGCACCATCCACAATAGGCTGGGCCCTCCCTCACCAATCACTAATTAAGCAAATGCCCTACAGGCCTGCCTATAGAGCAATCATATGGAGGATTTTCTTAATTGAGGTTCCCTCCTCTCACATAATTTTAGCTCATGTCAAGTTGACATAAAAATATGCAGTATATATGCTAAACATTTTAATCAAGAGTAATTTTATATACAAAAATGCACAAACCTTAAGTATTCGCTTTGGGTGACAATAATTGCATTCACCTATATAACAGGAAATCACACCCTTATCACCCCTGAGGGAAACACAGTCATCACTTCTATCCATCATCTCAACAGAATCACATTTACTTCTATAACTTCTGTTGTTTTTGTGTAATATCATGAGATTTTTTTAGGTTTGCTCATGTTGTTATATAAGTTATAGTTAGTACTGTTGAATAAGTAGCATTTCATTGTATGAATAGTCTAAAAACTGCTGATTCTTCCACTAACCGACATTTTATTGCTCCACTTTTTGATATTAATACCACTATGTATACTCACATGTAAGTCTTTATATAGACATTCCTCCAATTCAGTGTATGGATATATGACTTTATTTTATCTGAGTAGTTTCCTGAGATTGGAATTTCTAGGTCATATATTTAATTCTACAAATATAGAGAAATAGTTCTCCAAAGCATTTGTACCATTCCATACCCCCTCTGACACCATTCAAGACTTCTAATGGCTTGACATCATTGTCAGCATTTGCTATTGCCAGAAGCTTTGTTTTAGCCATTGTAACTTGTGTGAAATGTTAGTTACCACAGCTTCTGATGTGCCAGAAACAAAGGTATAGTAGGTACCTTGTAACTGAAAGCAAACTAAGTAAGCCTCAAGTAATTCTAAGATATTTTAATCTGAATCAAAAAAAAAAATCCTGACTGGGTCTATGGCTCCATGGTCGTGTATTTGCCTAGAATGCACAAGGATCAGTCCCCAGAACCAAAAAATAATTCCCGAACAGAAAAGGAGACTCTGCCCAGCACTGACAACTAGTCTGAACAACTTGGAAAGCAGTGTAAGGCCTAGCAAATTTACAACAAGCAGAGGGTTCCCAGCATCTGCGACCTTGAATTAGAGCAATTTGAAATCAATGGCACGGTCTGTGAAGATTATGAAAGACTGTAAATTCCCACAAACAGAGCAATTAACAAAAATTTGCCTAATTATAAAGCTGGCAAATTAAGCAACTGATCAATCCTGTTTACTTGTCTCTGAACTGTACCACACCCTGTAAAGGCATTGATTGTGCCTTAGCATTTTTGCTCCACGTTAGAACTCACTTGCTGGGTTTTTTGTTGGTTGGTTGTTTGGTTGATTTTTAATCTGTCTGTCAGATAACCATGCTATATAACTGTGCTTTTTAGACATTTGTCTTACTTTTCTACTAAGGTGACAAAATACCATGATCATAGCAACTTCTAGAAGAAAGCGTTTAATTGGGGATTCATTGTTCCAGATAGTTAGAGTTCATACCCATCATGGTGGGGAGCAATGACAGCAGTCAGGCAGACATGGTGCCAGAGCAGCAGCCGAGAGATTACTTCTGATTCACAGCAAGAAGCAGAGGAAGAGCTAACTGGGAATGATGTGAACTTTTGAAACTTCAAAGTCCACCACTCTTTAAAAAAAAAAAACAAAAAGTGACACTTCCTCCAACAAGGACACCTCCTAGTCCTTCCCAAACAGTTCCACCGTCTGGGGACCAAGTATTCAAACATACAAGCCTATGGGAAATGTTCTCATTCAAATCACAATACTTAAATTCAATCACTTTGAACTAGAAGTCAGCTGTGGTTTTTTAAAATTGTGTATACAGAAACCTATACAGAAATCTTTATTTCACAATAGCCTATGTTTATAAAGAGTTCACTGTGTGCCAAGCTCTTCCTGAAAACATTTAACACACGTTAGTTCATTTAATCTCTGAAATAATCATATAAACTAGGTACTTTTTTGTTTGTTTGTTTTGAGATAGAGTTTCTCTGTGTATTGCTGGCTATCCTGGAACTCACTCTGTAGACCAGGCTGGCTTCAAACTCAGAGATCCACCTGCCTCTGCCTCCCACGTACACTGCCGCCATTTAGGCCTGCATGACAGCCTGTCCCATAACCACAGTACTTGTGGGATTAAGACAGTAGAAACATGAGTTCGAGGACAGCCTAGGATACACAGGGAATTCTAGAACAGCCTGTGCTTGCTTGCTAAGACTCTCTCTCAGAAAATCAATTGATGAATAAAACAGGTTTTCTTACTAGCCCCATTTATAATTAGTTCACCTAATCTCTAGAAGTAATTGTCCCTAAGCTTCTAATATTATTAGTGAAGGACAGAGACCAGATTTGAACTCTAGGAGACTGAACCTAAAGTCCTAGTATATGTCCGCATGTTCCCATGCTTTACATTTCTATCACATCATAATTAATGCAAAAGAGTTTGTGCAGTCCAGGACAGTATGCTCCTTATATTTATCCCTGTGGGGTGATCTGAACTCCTGTGACTCTTTTCAGAAGGACCCTCAGAGTCAAATGTCACTGCTGTGCATGGTGAGGGGTGTGGCTGGAGATGAGAACACTTAAACGAGACTCCAAGAAGGGATGCACAAGAATAGCAGGCTGGGATCCTTTTCCCAGAGGTAGGTTTGGCCGCGATATCAGAAACCAGGGTAAACATGAAGAATATGGGAGGCATTCTTATAAATCCACATATAAAGGAAAACAGAAGAGAAGACAATGGCACAGGCTGTGAGCTTGCTAAAAAGGAAATACCGACGGCCAACAATAATGTCATTAGAAAGGCATATTAATACTATCAGAAGTCACTTGCTACTCACAAGGATGCCCCATTTTTAATATATGTTTGGGGACATAAAAGTACCAACACATGGATGTGGAAATTGGCCTAACTACATTAGATGAAAACTTTGCCCAATCTATTAAGACTTAAAAAAACACTCTAGGAATGAATAATCTCACTTATCAGCACCTAGAGTAATGCTTGGGCACAGAAGGACACCTGCAAGGATAGTCACTGTAGTGTGTCTGCTTCACAACACTTACAAATGCAAATGCATGTCAGTAGGCTGAGGAACAGATAAAACATGGCGAGTAACCACTAAGAATGTGGGAAACGGACTGGAGAGGTGGCTCAGTGATTAAGAATGCTTGCTGGGCAGCCATGAGGACCTGAGTTTGGATCCCAGCAAACACAACACAGGCCAGCATACATGCCTGCAATGCCAGGACTGTGGGAGACAAAGACAGGAGGAGCGGTGGGGCCTGATGGCTGCCAGTCTAGCTCTAGGTTCAGTGAGAGGCCCAGTCTCAAAGGAGCATAAAATGAAGCCTAATAGAGGAGGATACCAGATGCCTTCTTCTAGCTTCTGCCTATGCACACTGGTACCCACACCTGCACGTACACCGTGCATGCGTGCGCGCGCACGCGCGCGCGCGCACACACACACACACACACACACACACGCACAACTTTTCTAAAAGAATATGATAAAAGTTCAATTAACTACCAACAGAGCAAAATCTCTAAGGCTGATTTGAATTTTAAAAAATCAAATTGCATAAGGGGCACAGCTTAATACCATTTATGCTTTGCTTAACGAGTTACAAAGCAATAGCATATATTGCTAAAAGATTTACACAGGTAAATGTAGAGAAAATACCTGGAAGGAAATGTTCCCAAATGGCTTTTTGTTGCTGCTCTTGTTTGCAACCATACATGGTATTTACAAAGAGACAAGGATCCTTTTTCTGTAGCATCCCATCTTTACAAGGTGAATGTGCCAACATGTTACCAGTCATATATTTTCTTCTTTTACAGAGCTCACGGTCAATAGGGATGTATGGTACATATTCAGCCTTTCCCTTTACTTCCACAGCCCACCTAAACCGAGGCCTATTCTCCACCCTCCTATGTAGAACGCCATCCTTCTCACTTACGAGTGAGTCAAAACAAAGACAAGAAGCGGTGGTGTGGAGGCCCAGAGAACCAAAGTAAGGAAGGCAGGTGGGAGCTTGACACAGGCCATTTTGTTGCAAGGGAGCTGAACCTTCCAATAACAAGATACTTTAGAGAGGATTGGAGCACACGCATGCGCCGCCAGTGGGAGTGTAAATTAATTCGTCTTCCAGAAAGAAAGCCACTTGGCGACATCCACCATAATTTAAAGAGGCACGTTCTGTTTGGTCAGCAAGTTTACTCATTAGCAGTTACCCAAGACAGATATTCTCACGCTATGCAAAACTGACATCTGACCAAGCAGGGTTGCACAGCACTGGTTTGAGCAAACCCCATAAAGGTTCAGCGACCGGAGTTTCTGCATAAACAAACTGGGGTACAAAGGGGTTCATAAAGCAGTTTAAGAAATTAGCTCCAGATGTGCTTATATGGCGTGATCACCTAAGTGTGTGGTGAAATCAAAACAGAGGCATCTAGTAATATATATTTACAATTCTTCCACTTATGTAAATTATGTACACACATAAGTAAGGGATCTGGCGGTGGGTGGGGGAGCATCAAAATATCCACACCTACAGATACTGTTCTGTCCTTGGGCTGTCTTCTATATTTTCCTTTTTTATGATCACTAAATGGTGATTTTAAATCAGGACCCAATACTTGCTTCTCACAGGTTCTGGGATCCTGAGACATGGCCACTGAGATAAACAGTGACCCGGTGTGCCTTTACTGTAAGCCAGAGGTCAGTCATGAAACTAGAACCACTTGACAACTGAACCAGAGCCAGAAAAAAATCTCAGTCAACAAAGGGCGTTTCCTTTCAGATCATTCTTGTTACAAGAGCAATATATGGAAAAATTGATGAGATAATTTTTGAAAAATGAAATGTATTTGTTAGCCTGCCATCTGGAGATATCTGCTGTAAATAATAGTATTATATCCTCCTATGATTTTTTTTCCTAAATGTTTTCACCTCCTCCAGATGGAATTTAATGAACACAGTTTTGCACTCACTCGGCTTCTTAAACTCAAAACCATATGCAAGACAGGTGTGGTACCAGGCACCTTCAGTCCCAGCACTCAGGAGGCAGAAGCAGGTGGAACTCGATGAGTTCCAGACCAGCCAGGGAAACAGTGAGACCCTGTCTCAAAAAAATAAATTAACAAGAATAAAACTGTACACAAAAGATCTTTTTACTCACTGACTGTTACTCTACTATATGACTCTTCATAGCTGTATAATAACCCCATGGATGGATGCAATATGTATGCTGTTCCAAGCTTTGCCACAGTAACCAGGGCTGCAATGTTGATGTGCCTGTTAAATTTTGTGCATAATTCATTTTCTCAGATTAAGCTCCTACTAAGAACTGTAGTTACCAGGGGAAATGCTAGTGTAACCCTTGCTGATCTCTACCAATTCACACTGTCACTTCTAGTGACAAGAGAGGCTATTTTGTGTCTTTGCCAACCATGGATTCTGTCATTTAAATTTTAAAAAAAAATCTTTGAAAATACCATTTATCCTATGACAGGGTCTACACTGTTGAAAAGCATAACTTTTTTTTCCCCCCCAACTAAGGACCAGCCTTGAGACACTAGACTAGTCCAGTTATTCTGAAATCTTTCACTTTCTGACCTTGTGCTGGGGTAGCTTTTCCACTTACTGATACCTCATGGGAGAAAATGGTAAGGAGAAGCTTGAGGGAAAAGGAAGCCCGTACAGATTTTTCTGTCTCTGCAGACGCTGAAGAGGCCGGTGCTCCAGTCCCCACCAGTCTGGATGATGGTCGTGACTGTGGTCCTGCTGCTGGCTCCGCGGATAGGCTGCTTCACCACGGTACGAGCTGGTACTTGGCTCCTGGAGAGTCAAGGATGATGCTTAACTTGTTAACCGAGATGCAGAAGAATGATAACCAATTGATCAAAACAGAACAATAAAGAAGAGATCAGGGGCTGGAGAGATGGCTCAGAGGTTAAGAGCATTGCCTGCTCTTCCAAAGGTCCTGAGTTCAATTCCCAGCAACCACATGGTGGCTCACAACCATCTGTAATGGGGTCTGGTGCCCTCTTCTGGTCTGCAGGCATACACACAGACAGAATATTGTATACATAATAAATAAATAAATAAATATTTTAAAAAAAAAAGAAGAGATCAGAGACCTGTGGAGCCAAGAGGCTGAGTCATACATAATCCAGGCTGACTCCATCATCTTTCTCTTTCAGCATGCCTCCTCTGACTTTATAATGTTTTGCCCCATTAAGGACCAATCTCTTACTCAAATTCAATGTCCAATCTATCACCTAGTGTTTGCCAGGGTTTTGTAATAGCTAACTTCACAAACTTGAAACAAAGAGACACCCAGTCAGATCCCAGCATGTCCCTCCATGGTGACATGACCTCAGCTAAATGGTTTGTGCTCCGTACCTCCTGTCAGTTCAGACTGGAAAACGATCTCATGGGGCTTATTGTATCAACTGAAAGACGTATAACTAGTTTACTGTCACCCGAGGGTGTGCCACAGGTGAAGTAAGCTATAACCCAAGAGTGGTTAGCATCTGCTCAAGAAAGAATGATGAGGGGACTGAGAAGCAGCTAGGAACCTGGGCTCAGCTACTGGGGTTGACATGTGGATGGCCCCAATGCAGAACATCCCACACATCCCGCTCAGAGTTAATTGTCCCTGAAAGCAATGGATATTTCCACTTTCTGTAATTCTAAATTAGGAAACAATCGCTTAAGGGACTGGGATGTAATGGTGAAGTGAGGGGAAAAGCTTCCTCCTCTTTCTGAGGTAAAAAGTTCCGTCTGAATTTCAGTCATGGGAATGGCAAGAGTCATTTCCATAGATGCAGGTAAGCTGCTTCAAGGTTCATGGGAAAGCTGGGTCAGCTTGGAGTCAGTGGGGCCTATAATGAGTCTGAGCCTGCACTGAGTTGTCATTCCCTTGTGGTGTGCCTCTCCTGCAGCAAGCCTCATGAACTGTCTGCACTTGATCTCTGAGGTGCTGTAGAAAATTAAGAAAGGAACCTGCCTCACATTCACAATAAAATAAACAAGACGCAACACCAATTCCCCAGGAACCATTGCTGCAGTAGATCACCGAGTTCTCGATGCCCTAGGAGTCAAAGCGAAACATGGCTGAGCAATCGTAAGAGTGCATTGCTCTGGAGGCAAGTGGCTGGAGAGCTCCTTTCAGATCTGATTTACAGCAATCAAATCAGTGAGATGTTGTGGTATGGTGATATGTCTTTTCCACCACACCGATACTCCCTGCTACTGTTGTGTTGAAGGTTCCCAGATGGTGGTATGATTTGGGGAGGTTCTGGAACCTTTAGGTGACAAAGCCTATTTGGAAAAAGTACTTCATTGGGATCTTTGAAGGTTTTGCCTTGTGAAGGGACAAGTCACACCTTTGAAGGGAGCCTTTAAAGGGACCAGAGAAAAGCCACTTCCTCCCTGCCTGCTTCCTGTCCACCCTAAGGTCTACACCACAGTCCTTCATATATTCCTACCACCACAGTCACCTCAATACGGACCCCATAATCAATGGGGCTAAGGAATATGGATTGAAATCTCTGAAATCATAAGCCAAAACACATCATTCTTTCTGTTCAGGTGTTTATGTCATGCCTTCTGTCACAGGGACAAGAAAATTAATCGCTTGCCCAATTACCAAACAGGACAACTTGCTGAAACAAGTTCCAAAGCCCTGCCCCAGACCAGCTGCACGGGTCCCCAAAGAAGAAGTCTAGAAGTCACAACCATAGCAGGTTTCCAGGTAACTCTTAAGCAAGAAGTCTGTTGCCACCTGACTCCTCATGCAGTGGACCTGAAAGCCACTGGTGACTGCAACAGCTCCCAAGTCTTCACCTGCTAGGCGGTGTCCATAAAACAGAAGTGGCAAGGTACACAGAACAGGTAGTAGGCAAGAAGAGAGGATACTTGAACACACCTACTCCAAAGACCCAGTGAGTCATCAAGATCTTAAACAAAGAGCTGGGAATGCTCCACAAGAGCTCAGAAGGGACCTAGAGGCTGACCTGGAGCTACTGGGTCCCCAGAGCAAGGCTGGTCCTTTTATCTGATAGGCATTGCAGATAATACTTAGGGTCTAATTAGCTCTTTGAGACCCTATATGTTCTTAAGACTTGGAAAAATGTGTAAAACATAAAGCTGATGCTACGTCAAACACTGGAAGTTAGCATTATGCCCATTTCATTGTCAAATAGAACTCACGAATTCTGTTGTTGCTTGGAGTATTTTCGTTGTTTGATTTTGAGACAAGGTCTGTGTAGTCCTGGCTGGCCTGGAACTCACAAGAGATGAAGCTGCCTCTGCCTACTGAGTGCTGAGTTAAAGGCTTATGTCACCACACTCAGTCCCACTCGCAAATATTTGATTGTATTCGAAAATGTTTAAGGTTTTCTTGTTTCTCAAAAAATGCCCAGAGGCATGGCTGCTGAAAAGGAGCAACCAGTGGCTAATCATGACGTATAACCAGATCATTTCAAGACAAAATTGTAAAATATCCTTTCGTCTGCCACTCAGATGTGTGTGAAGAACAAGAGGATTATGGCCTGTGTATGTGTTGGTGGTCAGCTTGAAGTGACCTAAGGGTTATTTCTGTGGACTGACATGTGTTCCCTGAAATGCATATTGAGTCCCCAGCCCCCAGCATGGCTGTATATGGCGATAACTCCTAGAAAGTTCCCTGTGAGCCAGGAGAGGCCTCAACCATACTCCCCTAGTCCCTGACTTCCAACCTCCAGAACTGAGGGAAGGAGTCATTACTGCCTCCACCCGGCCACCTATGAACATCTGAAACTGCTCCTGAAGAAGCTGCTTTCATACTGGCCCTGTTTCATCTCCCTCCATGTGTGCTCCTTACTGCCAGGGGCACAGGCTGTTGTTCCTCTTTGTATGCCCAGCATCCAGCACACTGCCCTGAAACGGAGTGAGTACTCGATAAATATTTGCTGATTGGATCAAATAGATTCACTGTCTCTCCTATTGTACTCAAGTCTTTCTCCAATCTAGCTCCTCCGGGCTAAATTATGCAACTTGAACTGCATTTCAATTCTGTAGCGTAACTCTCAGGTGTGAACTGATGCAATAAAAGCAGAGGAGCGCCTAAAAGCTTCCTGCATCTCTCTACACAATCCAAGGCATTTCCTTCTCAGCATGGTGCCCACCAGTCAGGGCTTCCATCATTATGCTAAGAGCTTCAATCATCTTGGATTTTAGTGGAGGGATTTCTGAGGGCTGAGCACCTGGAAAGATTTTTTCCCTGAAATGAACCATTTACAGTCTGCAGCCCTAGACAAGAGATTTTTTTGCTTCTATCTTAAAATTATGTGCATAACACCTTTTTATCACAGCACGGAGGCCAGTCTTCTATCTACTCCAAATCAAGTAACTGAGAAAGTATCTTTTACTTGTTGGAAAAAATTACTTGTGTGCGTGTGTGTGTGTGCGTGTGTGTGTGTGTGTGTGTGTGTGTGTGTGTGGTTGCCTAATTTTGAACTCAATAAGAACTCTATTCTAATACTCTGAATCTTTGGCGATTTTATTAAAATGTTTAGATTTATAGATGCAAAGACATTTCAGTTCAAGCTTAACGCTGCTCATCTGTCATGATTTAAAAAGTAACGCCAGCCCTTCCCTAGGTCCCTCCTATGTGCCAGGCATTTGGTAATCCCACTAAAAATAGAAGGGTGAGGAGGTGTGACCGTGTACACTGGTAATCCCAATACCTGGGCAAACAAGGCAGGAGAGGTTGAGAGCAACCAAGCCTACACAGCAAAATCCTATCAAAGGAGAAAGAGAATTAAAGAGAGAGAGTCAAAGCAAGACCAAGGGCAGGTGGCTTATCTTAATTTGGAGCTGCTACACATGAGATAAAAGTAGTCACTGTAACTTCTTGGGCAGCTTGTCTATATGACCTACAAGGAGTACTTATGCCACCATGAAGAACAAGCTTGGTCATGATAGATACAACCCGATGCCCACAGAACTGGGCCAAATCAGAGACACGGCCCATTCATAAGCAAAAAGAACAAATTGGTGCACACTGAATTTCAAATTCAGCTCAGCTACATTCTAGCTCTTCAAGCTTAGGAAAGACGCCAACACTGCACTCAGCTCTGGCCTCAGCTTCCTCCTCCAACTGTGTGTTAAGTACTCTAGCTCTTGGTTACAGTGAGCATTCAACAATGTCATGTACTTGGTGCATGGGAGGCATGCAACTGACGGCAGCTAGTGATAGCATGACTTCAGCATCCAGTGGGCTTTCTTTGCTTTTCTGAGGAACACAGAAGGCAGAGAAATCTGGGTCGGTGTTTTTAAGCCGATACATGTGCTACCCAAATACCTTGAAACACAGTCAAGATGATCAACCATCTCAATTTGACTAGGAGAGAGAACTTTTGGTGCTAAAATCAAGACGGTCCTGAGAAAGCCAAGAGAGGTGGTAACTCTGCTCATCAAAAGCAGAGGGAAGCTTCAGTGGGAAATGGGATGACGGCAGCCATAGTCTCACTGATCCTCCTACCTAGTGATGCTTCAGATTGGTAAAACACACTCTCTCCTCTGGCTCCACTCTCTTCTAACTCGCTCGCCTAAGAAGCCAGGCACCCTCCCCACCAAAAGCTGACTGTCCTCATGTTGAATACACCATTCTGGGCAGTTTCTGTTAATTCTTTAATCAAACATGCAGTGCTAAGAATTTATTATACTTTCCACTCAGGCCTCCTTGTTTACTCCAAGTTCTTAATTGAAGTCAAATCTCTGAGATATTTATGTCAAAGGGGTGGATTTCATAGGCAGTGGCCAGAAATAAAGTTTTGCTTGGGCAGGACAGGAGAATTTAAACTGAGAATGAAGAGATTTCCTTTAACTCAAGTGGTCCTTCTTTCACAAGCCACGCACAGTAGCCCCTTTCTCAAGCTCTCTTGGCACTAGGTACTCCCCACTCTCCCCACAAAAGCCACTGTTCTTTCCCGGGCTCCTTTTACAAAGAGATTGGCTGGATATTCCAACAGCAAAACCTGGGAGAAAAGTCACCTGACTTCCTACCTCAAGTTGGAGATTAAATGCTCATCTTCAGACGATAGGAGGGAGAAAAGTGGAGCATGTGTACTGAGCAAGGAAACGTCCTCGGGGGGCCTGGAGAAGTGAGGCCCGAGCCAGCTCATAAGGACAGCTTGTTGTCTTGTCTGGTTATCCTTTCCCTTGGACAATGCGCAGACTGGTTATAAACCTGGGTTCAAATCAAAGGAAAGTGTGCCTTTAAAAGAATGTTGCCTTGATATTCTGGAACTTGAGGTCATAGCAGTCTGATAGACAGACATTGCATTGTTTTAAAGATGAGCACATGTCTAACTAAGGGTCTGTACTTTTTTCTAATTTGAAGGGAGGGAGAATGATGGAGATACAATGTAAATACAAAATTTAGCCAGGCTGGTGGCTTATGCTTTTAAACCCAGAATTTGGGCGGTAGAGGCAGGCAGATCTCTATGAGTTCAAGGCCAGTCTGGTCTACAAGAGCTAGTTCCGGGACAACTAGGGCTGTTACACAGAGAAACTCTGTCTTGAAAAACAACAACAACAACAAAATGTAAACACAAAATTTAAAACAAGGAATTTATCTTTGATGGGAAAATCCTTTGCTTTAAAAGATGCCTTTACTGGGGATTTACCTAGTTAAGTGCCACTCCGCACCACATCGTCGCAGAAACTGCAGTTTTCTACCCTACTAGGGCAGCAAGGTGGCTTCACCACCAGGACCAGGGGTCCAATCCTGAAAGATGAAACACTTCCAAAATATACCCAAAAGCAGGGATAGAAAGGTCTTCCAGCCTGGGGATTACTTATCAAGAAAAAAAGGTCTTCAAAGGATCAGAAAACCATTAAGAAAAACAATTGAGTCCAGGCCATCCCCAACACATAGAAGTATTGAACCATGTATTTCTAATTATAAAGGAGAAAAAACACACATCATGCATGTCTGGAAAAAGCATGTATCCAAATGTATCCAAAATGTGTCCTTACAACTGAAAGTTCTGAGAGCTTTTTCAGACACAGGGAACTTTCACCTGCAATGAAAGTTCCAGAAGTGACTGTCCAGGAAGATATCTCTGAAGCAGAACATCCTGGAAGTTGTCAGAAAGTACCATTAATAAGTGGAATTCTGGAATTTATCAAGTTTAGAATTGAACAAACTGGGATAATTTATCTTCAAATAGGGCAATGAAAGTAAAGCTTAGTCTGAATTTCAACAAACCTCTAGACATAGTGCAAACGGAAATACATTGAGTCATTTTAAATTCTGTTAGTCAAGTGCAACGAAAGTAAAAAGAAACCAGCAAACTTAAACTTAACATATATTTTGACATTCAATCACTTTTTCTCTAATTTTATGTGCTATGTCTGCATGAATGTCTGCACATCATGAGCATGCCTGGTGCCCACAAGGCCAGAAGAGGGTGTCAAAACCCCTGGGATCAGAGTCACAGACAGTTGTGGCCCACTCAGTGAGTGCTGAGACTAGAACCAGGTTCTCTGAAAGAGCAGCCAGTGCTCTTAATCACTGAGACATCCCTCCAGCCCCTTCCATTGATATTTTAAAATTATTATTGGAATACCTTGCATTCGTTTTGCATACAAAGACTCTAAGATCTGGATCATAAACTACAGTTACAGCACCTTGAGATCTGGTCCAGTTGTATTTCAAATGCTCTGAAGACTCATGTGGCCAGCGGCAAAGCCCTGAGCCACACAATTCTGAATTTACCATCACAAGTAATGTGACAGGGGACCAGAAAGATAGCTCAGAGGTTAAGATCACTGACTGCTCTTCCAAAGGTCCTGAGTTCAATTCCCAGCAACCACGTGGGCCTGAAGGTGTACATGCAGGCAGAATACTGCATAAAAAATAAATAATAAAGAAAACATTTTTAAAAAAGAAATTTACACCTCCTCTTGTAAACTGAAAATGAAGTATTTATTACATTCTTTAAAGCCCTTAGAAGAGTCATCTTCTACCCTAGTTAGTGTGTGTGTGTGTGTGTGTGTGTGTGTGTTTCACGTGCAACTAGTTATACTGTGTATAGTGTATCAGTGAACAATTAGAAATAATTATAATACTCCAGGTTTGGGGTATTCTTCTAATGCAAAGGTTCTCAATCTGTGGAGCATGACCCCATTGGGGGTTGAATGACCTTTCCACAGGAGCTGCATATGGTTATCCTTCATATCAGATATTTACATTACAATTCATAACAGTAGCAAAATTACAGTTATGAAGTAGCAACATAAATACTTTTATGGTTGGGAATCACCACAACATGGGAACTGTATTAAAGGCTGCAGCATTAGGAAGATTGAGAGCCACTGTTCTAACATAAATGTGAAGTTATATTCAAGACACTGAGTGAAAAAACCGTGATCAAGCAAGTAGTGCTAAACCCTCACATACATTGAGTGTCAAAGAAATGTATTTTCAAAACATATATCAAAATATCAGCAAATTAAGTCAGACACTGTGGTGTACATCTGATGTGGGATTCCCTTCTGTATGCTATGACTATGTCTTATTACCATTGGTTAATAAAGAAGCTACTTTAGCTTTAGCAGGGCAGAATATAGCCAGGTTGGAAGATACCGAGACTCGGCAGAGTCAAAGAGATGTCATGTAGCTGCTGAAGAGGACAGATGCTAGAGCTGGAACCTTACCCTCGTGGCTACACACAGATTCATAGAAATGGGTCAATTTAAGATTAAGAATTAGATAATAAGAAGCCTAAGCAAATAGGTCAAGCAGTGTTGTAATTAATAAAATTTCTGTGTACAAATTCAGGTCTGAGTGGCTGGGAAACAAACAAGCAGTCTCCATCTAAAGATGGCGCCAACTTGAGCTGACTATATCGACATAAAACCTGAGAGAGTTTGGGAAAGAATTCTAGACACAAAATAACAGCATTTTCTCAGGTGGGCTCTGTTAGTTTAAAGCAAGCAGAGGCACGATTCCTTTAAGAGGAGGCTTCCTGACTCAGCGGTAGCAGCAAAAACTGCATGGCTCCTTTAAGAAGGCTTCCTGATTCATGCTAGTTGCAACTGGCTCTTTCAGGAAGTCCTGCACTTAAATGGGGCTTGTGAGCACTAGTTGCTTATTGGCAACATAGACCCACTGCATCCCTGGAGCTGAGATGGTGGGCAAGACTAGTAGAGGCAGTAAACATACCTCCACCATGTTAGACAGGGCAGAGCCAAGAGGCAAGGCTGTGGAGTTGGTCCTAGCCATGCCCGCTTAGCATATTTAAAAAAAGGTGTTCCTGGTCAGAAAATGATTACAGATATGCAATAAAGACAGATTCAGACAAAAATAAATCTCTGAATGGGTCATAGTGTGTTTAAAACTGTACATAGGCTTGGGAGAGAGAGGAAAAGAATATAGACAAAAGTACAGTCATATTAAAAGAGTAAAGACAATAAAATAAATATTAAAAATTAATAGAGTAATATAAAAAGCCACATAAAGATGGAAAATATACAGAGAGTCTGGATTACGCATATTATTATGTTTTCTTTGAATTTTTTGACTGTAGAGAGATATTAGATTCTGGGGGCTGCTAAGTTAAATCAACATAAAGGCATCTTGACTTCAAAATTTAAGTCTAAAGATATGTTTTGGAAACAAAAACCAAAAGTGGATTCTGTTTTTGTTTCCAAACAAGATGAGAACCTATAGATAGGCTAATGTGGTTTAATGGAACAAGACCCCCTGAAAGGTTGCCATGAACCCTAAAAATACTTCACCCAGTAAACAGCAGGAAACATTTTGGAGAAAGCAATGCCCAAATTCCCAAAATAATTGTTTATAATGTTTATAATATGTTTTCCTTTAAAGGGGGGGTATGATATAAATACTTTGCATTGGTATGGATCTTGGTCTATTGATACAGATTTAAGGTCAATTTTGTTACACTGTATATATGCATTTCTGCTATTGCTTAAAGTATTGTGCTTATGCAGTTCACTTAAAAATGTAATGTATAATTAAATACAGATTAATAAATAGTCATCTATAATAATCAAACTGTAGTTACCTTAGTTAGGTTTTCTAGATATATAGAGATGTATTTCAGTTAGATAATCTTCAACACTCCAAAGACCTACAGAACATGGCATTTAAAGTGCTTTAAGAACAAGAGTTCCAGGACAGGCTCTAAAGCCACAGAGAAACACTGTCTCGAAAAACACACCAAAAATAAATAAATAGATAAAAAAGAATTCTCATAATATACTCAGGTTATGTTGTTAACTTCAAAAACCAAAGTATAAAATAATTTTATATATAATTCTACGGAAAGATATTTATATATAATTTTAGAGAAAAATAGTTCCTACTGTACTAGAAAAAGGAAATTAAAACATAAATAAATTAACTGCTTATTTTGGAAAGAGATATAGAAAACATAACCAAGAAATTAAATAATAATGTTTAGCTATTAAGTGGAACACGGTGTGAGAGTTTTGTGATGGGCATAGCTTTGACTTTCAAGGCATGTATTTTACTGATTTAAAAAAGAAAAAGCAGCAGGCTAGAGCAATGGCTCAGCAGTTAAAAGCTCTTGTTTCCTTGCAGAGGATCCGAGTTCAGTTTCTAGAGCTGGCTCCCAGTGGCCTGTCTCTCCTGCTCCAGGAAATGAAACTTTCTTCCGGCCTCCACAGGCACTGACGCACACGCACAAACCCACAGTCAGGGCACACAAATGCACTTAGTTGAAAATAGAACAATTTTTTTTTTTAAGAAAACCATAAAGCTGGACATAAAAGAACAACAAATCATTAAAACCGCATACAGAGCTGTGTATAGTGGTGTCCGCCTTTAATCCCAGCACGCAGGAGGCAGAGGCGGGAGGATCTCTGTGGGTCTGCGGCCAGCCGGATCTACAGAGTGAGTTCCGGGACAGTCAGAGCTACACAGAGAAACTCTCTCTCGAAAAACAAAACAAATAGCAACTGATGGAAAAGCAGATACAGACATCTGTCCCCTAATGTCCATGTACACACCATGGTACAAATACCCCCTCCACACACAGACACACACCATACATAGACACACAATAATAACAGTATATTGAAAAACAAAAATATTTCCTTGGGATTCATAACTGCTAGTCTAGCTCAAGTTCAGTGGCAAATCATGTCTCATGGGAATAAAGCAGAGAATGACAGCAAAACACCAGTGTCTTCTTTTGTCTGGCACATGAGCATGTGCACAGAGTTCTGCACACATACATGCACATCCACTACACACATGCTCATATCACACTCATAAAAGTAAGTGATGGAATTAGCTCACTCACTATTGTCTTTCCCTTTTCTTTTTTGTATGTTTGTTTCAAGACAGGGTTTCTCTATGTGGCCTTATCTGTACTAGAACTCACTCTGTAGACCAGGCTGTCCTGGAATCAGAGCTCCTCTTGCCTCTGCCTCCTGAGTGCTGGGATTAAAGGCTGCTGC